GATGAACTCATTCTCTCACATGGAGGACACTATGCGCAAGTGCTTCACCGAGGACGACAAGGCAATCATCCGACGTGATGTTGAAAGCCGAAAGAGGAAAGCAAAGTCATCCAAAGACGTCGAAGACGAGGACTACATGGATGTGGATGATGAAGATATTGAACTTCCCGAAGAAGAGCCGGAACTAGGAGGTAAGGTACCACCTCACTCTCCGAGAGCCAAAGGTAGACCACAATCGTCAGACTCTGCAAAAGAGGAATACGCGAAAGCGGTCGAGGCAACCAAGAAGGCCTTTGGGAACGCCAGTTTCGTCACCAGATTCAAAGAGCCCGTCGACCTCTTTGACATTGCCGATGACAAAGAAGGAGGAGAGTACAGGGTCGCAAATCACAGGGTTGATAGATCAGGTCCTAATGGAAAGTGGGAACTTGATGCACTTATTCAGGAGGCTGCAGCACTCGGAATAAAGATGCCCAAAGTGAAGGACCTTGCTCCTGACCCACAACAAGTTCAAAAGGTTGGATATCGGCAGATTGAGGTGACTTGCGATAGAGGAAGCATCGAGATAATTCCACAGTATGGAGTTACATTCTATGTGGAGTACTGGAATGGACCGAAGAGAGACGCAACTTTCACGGATCCACCAAAGATGAACCCAGCAACTCGCATCGACAAGTTCAGCGAGGAGAGTCAGCGGGTCAACGAGGTTAGCCATAGACTCAATAGACTACTCAGGCATGGAGTGGGAAAGCATAATGGGATTCAATCGCACCGCGGTCGAAAACCTCATGTGTCCCCGAAGTGCAATGAGGGTGGATGGGTGAACATCGATGAGATCCTGGAATATGACTATGTCTTCAACGATGGTGTCGATATCAGTACTATCTCAGGTGATCGGCATCGTCAAGATGTCAAGACAGAGCGATACCAGTATTTATGCAAGGCGATGTGGCATGCAAAGAAGTTGCAGAACAGAGTACGCTATCAGATTGCCGCCATTCGTATCTCAAGGGAGGATGTCTCACTCGAAGAGGAAAGGCAATACTGGGCAAACCTCATGTACTACAGCACAGATGCACCGTCATTTCTGAAGCATGAACGTTGGATCGTTCCTTGTGCAATTCGAGCTGTTGCCTCTCACAATTCTGGAAGAGAGACTGTTCTTGAAGAGGATGTGTCAATATATCCTGTGTGGACTTCACATCTCATTCCAGAGAATGTGGCAATGCAGCTTTGAGGAAGCTTTCACATGACATCGCTTTCCAATATTGAGTCAATCATGAAACTAGGAATTGTCCCTGGTGGAACGGAGGGATATAGAGGTAGTGTCTTCTTCAACCACTTTGCGCCGTGGGATGATCGATCATCAAAGATTCTGAGATCAAGATGGCCAAGAGTGGGAATGCCCGTTTGCCTTTATGTTCCAATCATGACTTTGAGGAAGCTTGGGGGAAGAATTTCGGAGAATTCCTACACTGTTGTTTTTAGAGAAGTTCCATGGAGATGTGTACGAGGTGCTTGGTATTGGGACGACTACGTTCAGGCATGGAGGAGACTCCTGCTGGGAAGCACTGGAGAGCAAGTTGTTCTAGCGGCACATCATGGACTTTGGGTTGCTCAGAAGCATACCATCCTCGAGAGAGCCGACGAAGTCACGAAGTCAGCCTCGGCGACAGATGACAACGTCCAAAAGCTCGTGTCCCTTATCGATGAAGTACAATTCGATGACAATGGAGAGCTGATCGAGGATTCCATCAGTGAGGAAACTTGGGACGAAATCATCTCCAGAACATGTGAAGGGTATCGCAACGTGGATGGCAATATTTTGTGTCCATCATGTATGCATTTGACTTCTTCATCTTTGTCCGTGTGTCTATCTTGTCAAGGCAGGCTACTCTCGTGTGGTATTCGCAACACTGTCATTTCCGATTCACCCGTTGATCTTGTGAGCGACGATGAAGAGGAAAAGAAGGAAGAGAAGGAGCCTGAAGATGATGATCAAGATATATTGGACCAGGCCACTATGGACGAGATCAGAAAGGCTTGGGAAGAAGACATCGCTCAAACTGAAGCAGCTGACGACGACGAGGACATGGACAATCTAGATCCTTCCAAACCGTCTGATGGTGCAGAAAACTTCAAGAGTGACAATGTCGAGACCCCATCTTTCAATGAGGACGAGATCGACTACGGTCGTGATTCTGATCTAGAAGATGAAGACGAACGAAATGTAATCATCGAGATCCAGAGGAGCACACAACAATATGAGGGGAAGAAACGTCAAGATGGTGAACCCGAGGATGAAGACGTCACCGACGACTTACATCCGGAGGCGAATCGACCGACAGATCGTGATGAACCGGGATACTATGCACAGCATGGAGCGACCGAGTTCAATCCCGAAGAAGGAAGAGACAACGAAGATCTCCCCATCTATTGTCGAGTACCGGAACCTCGAATCTATGCGCATCAAGAGAGAGCCTACTGTCAGGACGTCTCCATGAATGCATCGGGTTTGATGGATAGGTATGTGGTCAAATGTGTGCTGAACATGATCTCCCTGATGTACAAGAGCTATTATTGCACCAGCCTTACCGACTTCAAAGCAAATTGGAAAAGGAAGCGACTGGATGTGATAAGCAAGTTCGGTACAGGGGATTCCACTGAAATCGATGACGATGGGAGACCATTGGATCCAACAGATGACATGATGTTAATCTTTGCCAACGACAACAATATTACGACTGAGGAGGCCTGGCACCGATTCAGGGGAGAGCAATTCATTTGCAAGGTGGCACTCGTGATCCTATCATTTGGTCATACTCCGCAATCCTTCAAGAAGGAATATGGCAACTTCGAATACCCCACCAACTTGACTGATGCCCAGCTTGAGGAGTTGAAAGCGAAGAAAGCCAGCGCAATGACTGAATTGGTACAGAAGTGCATCCATGCGATTTATGGGTGTCGGACATATTCTTACTTTAGAACCGACGTTACATCACCCTACCACAAGGTGATCGATCCTCTGGACATCATGTACTCGAGAATGAAGAGCAAGTGGGAGAAGTCTATTCTGTTGATCATTGATCAACATGAGATCAGGTTGCCCCCACAAGCACAGGAAGTCATAGAGTCAATGGCCAGAAACCCCAACGTTGGACATACAGAGAGATGGATGAGCGTGGTAGAACATAAGCATGTTCAAGCTCTTACCAATCGTCTAGGCTTTGGAGATAGGGCCAAGGAGATTCAGGGCAAGAAGAAGCAGGCAGCCAAGGCGACAGCTAAGTCAACATCAACGACTAAGTCTGAAGCGAAAGCAGCATCTTCGTCAAGAGCTGAGGCAAAGCCAGCATCTACACCCAGAACCGAGGCCAAGCCGTCGTCAGCACCAAGTGAGGAGCCAAAACCTTCAAGAGCACCAAGAGTTTCGGGCCCTCATCAGCAGAGGAGAACAAGGCGAAGGCTGCTCCAAAAGCCAGACCACATGATAAATCACCATCCAGTGCTACCGATGTGTTTGAGCAAGCTTTGCAGGAAGATCTTGCCGCCAACGCACATGCAGCAGAAGGTACAACTTCTTCATCATCCCGAGGACATTCCAAAGGAGGAGGCCAATCTGGAACATCTTGGAGGCCGGCACTAACGCAAGAACGTCGCGAAGTACCTCAACCTTCTGAAAAGGGGAAGGGAAAGAGCAAGTCCAAGGGAAAGTCCAAGAAGGGAGAAGATGATCGGTGGGATGCTCAGGGCAGCTGGGATCATCGTGGATGGAGAGGTTATCGCCAGTGGTGATTTCTTTGAACGACTATGAGGATACCATGCAAACCAGGGAGGAAATCATTCACCGGATGTTTATCTGACCTGAAACGCTGTAAGTGTATCGTTGCAAATTCGGATTGACGATTTGATACCATGAGCATAATGGAAGGCAGACAGTCACCGACTGTCTCTCCGACTTGCCGTTCTGTAAGTGTATCCAAACCAAAACCTACATCTTTTGAGAAGTGTGAAGTCAGTTGCCGATGTGACATCTACGTGGAAGTCACCAGTTCGGATCTACATCAAAGCGATGCTCTTTTGAGTGGATACTGAGCGAGGCCTCGTGACTGTCTCACTTGTTCAATTCGATTTTCATAGGTTCTGAGCCATAGTTGCACACTTTATATGTAAAAGTCCGCTTTAGTCCAGCATGTTTCGTAGTATGAGCCTCATATGAGTCTCGCGGCAAATCATACAATTTCTTTTGTAGCACTTACATCCCTAAATTTTCGTGTGTGATCGGAACATATTGTTGCCGTTCACATGGGGGGTGCGAATGGAAGTGCAGCGACACGTACAGTGCAATTTGTACATATATATGTACCATATGTATTTTGGCTCAAGGATCAAGCGACTAGAAAAGGTGCGGTTTCCGTTCCGACGCTACGCCGCTTATGGACCGTCAGTGATAGCTTCAAACTTCGCTGATTAAGATCCACTCGCATTGTTTAATTGTTCTTAATTGGTGGGTTTGCAAACACCACCGTATTTGCAGTGATTTGTCCTTCTCTACACCAGAGGGCGCAGAGTACACGTACACTCGCAGACCAGTTGATCCTGCCCTGCACCACCCTGGGATGTACCAAACCTTCTAAGGACTCAAAGAGCTTGCCCAGATGGCATGGAAGGTGGTATGTACATTTGCCAGTCCCATGGCCCATGGGTCATGTCCGGCAATAGTGGGATATGTTCCATCTCAAGTGGGGGGGATATGTGAGTTAGTTCTTCCTCGAACTATATAGGATGGTTGTAATGACATGGGTAAGTGGCCCGTTGTTCTGAGCCATGGGTGGAACGTCCTCGCAAGCAGCTAACAGAACTTGTTTTCCGTGAAAGCAAACATAACTATCAACATCACATAAATTCACACAACATGAACAATCCCCCCCGCAAGAACCGGTGATCTCTGCAACAAAACTCTTACTTCATGCTCCGAGACTCCAGCCCTATCGCAAGAGGCTTCGCACTCAGCAGCATCGCCCAAGAGTTCGGCGCCGCGAGCGCTGCGGTTGGTGCTGGCGGTGCCATGCAGCACCTGGGCGCAGTGGGGGTGTCAAAGAGAATTGGTATATTTGCCGATCAGTTGGGGTAGTTTGGGGGTTCAATGTAAGCATACATGGCAGTCCCATAAAGTGTCTGGTATTGGAGCCCTCCGAGGGAAGTTACCTGCTGTTTCTGTGTGATGGGCTCGTTTACGCATCAGTTGCGTAGTACGTGGTCGTCCTCTTAAAAGAGCCAGGGAAAGGGAAGATCAAATGAGGAAGAACGGGAAGAAGGAGCCTTTTTGGTTGGCAGAACATGATGCAATTGTGGAGAAGCAGGCGGACCGAGCGGACCTACCGTTTGGGCCTTGACCGTCGCCGCACTTCCGTCGTTCAACAATGCATGTGTCTTGATAAAAGCTTTTGCTGATAGGCCATGGACCAACTGCGAGAGATCAGATTGCGCTTGCTGATAGCACCAGTGGCTGCCCGTGGCGGTTTGTCAGCTTACACCTGGCTGCTACAGATTTGTCTCGAGAGCCCCAACCGCGCCTTCACTTTTCAAGCACACGGCAAGGCCAGTCGTTCCATGTTTCATTTTACAGTTTACAGGCATGGGCGGCATGGCTGAGTAGAACTTGCAAGTAACTTGCAGCTTCAAGCACCATTCTTCTCGATGGTTTTGCTTGTTGCAAGGATACCACTTGCTGGCTTCGCAGGCAGTAGCCATGAACATAGCTGGGCCTTACAGCCAAAGATGCACGCCTCAGCGCATTTGGCGTGGAGTTAAACAGTTACAGAATGACAACGCAGCAGTCTGGAACCCTTTCTGATCCTTTATGTTGGTGCGAACCCATTACGAGTTTCCACCATGGGACATGTTTCCCGGCTGGCAAGGAAGGCGAGCGCACACGAATGCGACAAGCGAGTTCTTTGCAGGTAATGTCTCAAGAAGCGCGTCCTGTTGCGGCGCGCGAAGGGGAGCGCTCGCGTCTTCTGCTTCTCAAAACTTCAGGCCGTTCACATGGTCCCTTGTGAGGTGACGCCCTACATTGCATCCGCTGTGTTATTTTCTTGCAGCGATTTGGGATTGTGATGAGAATCTGATGAGGCTATTCGTGGTGGGTTTGGTGTGCTGCTAGTAGCGTTCTTGCTACTAGTATAGCTTCTTGTTACTAGTAGCGGTGGCCTCCAACCTAATAGCGATGGCCTCCACCTAGTAGCTTCAGTGGGGTTGGTGTAGTTTACCTGGCGTTCTCTTGAACCTTGAGCCTGGGCGGAAGTGGCCACGATGAAGGCACATTGTCCAAATGTATGTCCGCTCCGCTTCCCGACGTTCTCACTGGAGCTGTATGGACTTCAGCGACGCAAGTCGGCATGTTGATGTGAACCTCGGTGTGTGGCCCCTTCTCCTTCTGCACTGCAGAAGTGCACCGCACAGCTGATGTTCCACCCAGCACGTGAGGACGTCCGCATCGGATCACGTCCGCCGCCGTGGTTGGTGTCCGGTCCGCTATGTGGCTTTGGCTGTATGTCGCATGGTGAGCGTCTGCGATGACCGGTCGAGGAACGGAGCGAAACGGCACGAAGAACGCGTCCCAAAAGCACAGCCGAATCACTCGACAAGCCACATCCTGTTCAAGCCGGCACTGCCAAGGGAAGGTTCTGGCTTTCGCTGCTCTCTATATAGTTTCCAAAAACCTCAAAGCCAAAGGTGTTCCTCCTTTGGTCCCTGGGAGGTGGCTACATGAGGCCAAAAGGCGGCGGCGGATGCAGCGCTGCATTCTTCATCTCTGGCACCATCGCATGTGACCCAAAACCAGCGTCCATTGACACCATGGCGTAAGTCCGAGCTCACCGGGGTCGCAAGATTCCCTGCATGTTCTGCAGGCTAGCTAGCTCGAGCTATTGCCAAGCCTGGGTACATCTGCCTACCGTGATATCAATATGCTAAGTGGGTCCTGATTTGTTTTTCCGTCAACTGCCATTTAAAGGGTCGTGTGATGAGAGATTCTGTGTGGGAGGTGGTATAGGTCTTGGTTGCTCTTGATAGGTGAAGCCACCCAAATATCTTTAAACCCAAATAAACCCAAACTTCTAGGGCCCCAAGTACCTTCAAGGTACTTTGACCGTCCAAACCGAGACCAAACACCTCAGACCTCTCGGGACCTGTCGGGAGGGTAGACCTATGGATCTTCATTTCACTATGCTCATCGACCGCCCCTTTTCTCACCAGGTCAATCCAGCTGGAAGTGGACCGGCCATCCGCAGCATCCGCTGTGCTGGCGCTGGCCCACGGCGAGGTGGACGAGAAGGAGGCGATAGCGCGGCTGGGCAGCAGCAGCCGGTGATTCGTTCGTTGCTTTCCCTGAAAGGAACGGAATAGACCCTTCCAGGGAAAGGAACAGGAGATGAGAGGAGATGTGGATCATGCTTCTTTGTTTGGATATCAAAGGTAACTTGATCCCTTGCAAGACGGCTCGATGTCAAAAACTGACAATAACTTGGAGTGATGGAGAAGGAATGTGTGAAATGCGTACGAGATGTTTGTGAGCATGATTGGAGACACTTTGTGTAGGCGCCAGGAGGGTACCTTCTGAGAAGATATTATATAAACCTCGAATCTTAAATGACCTTATTTTGCACCACCATCAGCCACCCATATATGGCCTTTTCCTCGTAAAACAGTGGTCGAATGGGCTCTGTATAGGCTCTACAAGCGCGTGCCTCGCCTGGGGTTTGAGAGCCTTGTTCAACGAAATCACCATCTCATCTCATCTCGAAGATTCCATCTCCAAACATCCAGAATTAGATGGTTGAGGGAGATGTCAAAAAAAACCAAATCAAAAGACCCTAATTCTCCAAACATCAAAACAAACTAATCTCCAAACATCCAGAATTTTGTCAATTAGGGTCTTTGGGAGCCAAACGGGTCATGTGAAGCCACCAGCATCTTCTCCATCACCGACCCCTAGGGACTTTTTTGAGTGTCTTTGGTTCCTGGTCACGAAGAGCCTTAGAGCCGCAGTCAAAGACCAGAGCAGACTGGAAAATCCCCTCCAACGACTCGTAGGTCGTCTGAGGCTCCTCAAGCAGCGTGCAGATGTCCATGCGTGCGCGGGAGATTTGCAGCGCAGCATGCTGCACTTCGCCGCGGAGAAGTGCCTGACACCATGATGTGCTTTTGTGGGTTTGGAGGGAGTGATGACGCTTTGAGGGCATCATGTTCCCTGCAGCTTGAAAGGGTACCTGGGTACCTGTGAGCAGGGAGTTTCGTTTCGGTAACTAGACACTCCCTCCGTAGCCATTTTGGCTCAAGCGGTTGAGGCGTTTCCTCTCCATATCATGTGTCCTAAGTCGCATGATCTTCGTTGTGTTGCATGTGGCCAATCCGGTCATCTGAGCACGGACTGTCCATCTCCACCGTGGTGTCCTCTACGTGGACTTGCGAACCCACTCCATGATGAAGGACAACATGACAGATACGGAAGATGCAAGTCGAAGCTCAGTTTGGCACGTGAATGGTTCTTTGGGAAAGCATCCCTCCAACTACGGAGATGGCCCATGGCACCATGGAAGAAGGGAGAGAAGCAGTGCCTCACGCCTGGATGCAGGCGAAGATCATGGATCACAACCTTCAAGATCGGAAGCAAGCGCAGAAGGTTCTGCATGGTCTACTGCTGCAGAAGATGCATGTACGCAGCTCAGACAGATGGCGAGAACTCTCAAGGCCATGGAACCTACTGCTCAGGATGGAAGTGTTGCAAGCAAGATCATGAACAAAGAAAGAAAAAGAGGAAAAGGAAGATCTCTCAGTGAACGACCTGCTGCGGCACAAGAGCATGGTGCTGTACGCAGGTTCTTCGATGGGCGCTTCTGGATCTGGATGGTCAAGCTTACTGTTGCTGTCACGTGCGTTGCCAGGTTCTTCTGTGTCAAGTACATGTACACGAACGTTGCTGGCCACTTCGAGTGGTCCATGCACAGGTCGTACTTCGAAGGCTGGACTGGACAGTTCAGCAGTTCTAGTGACGATCACATGCCTCATGGCCCTGATCCCTTGCACGATCCCCTCAGTGACTACCAAGCTTGGTTCAACACTGATGAACCAGAGTACATGAGGAACTGGTTTTGTCAGGACGTGGAGCTGGAAGATGAGGATGTGTTTGGTGATATGTCCGGGTGAAAAGTGCTTGCGTCGGATGTCACTGCTGCTGCTATGTCTTCCATTGAAAGGGCGGACGCAACTTGTTTCTTTTTGCATGTCATGTGTCGAAGGGGCGGGTGTGAATTTATGCCACTTGTTCCTTGAGGGAAATCCTCGGTACCTCGGGAGACAACGTCATCATCCATTTCCCAAGAGATATAATTCGGTCTCGTCAAACAGATCTTCTTTCCCACAGAAGCTAAAAGTGGCATCGCGAAAACAGGAGTCTTTTGATGACCAATCCAAGTACCTGTCCTGTATTTCTCGTACCACTTCAGCACGGCTCGGGCCCTTTATTACAATGTGCGGCGCCGCTTCGGTACCGCTCGGGCCCTCTATTACAATGCGCGGTACCGCCTCGGTACCGCTTCGGTACCGCTCGGGCCATCTATTACAATGCGCGGTGCCGCCTCGGTACCACTTCGGTACCGAGCACGACGTACCTGTATACGAGTCCTTCTTGACTTGGGCTCAAGAACATCAGATCCCTGATGAGTGCATCTGTCGACCAACACACTCCTTCGGAGAGATCGCTCTCTACTGGGTCAAGGATTGCATGTCTGCTCACACTTGCCGTGGTGGCACTGTTGCCCACCCTGTTGAGAGACCTTGCATCGATGTTGCACCCAAGATGCGCAGAGAGAAGTACTGGCCTATAGATGGTGGTGGAACTCACGTCCTACACTTGCGCAGTACCGTCGTGCTGCTGAACTTCCCTACCTGCACGCAGCCTGATTTCGGCGGCTTGCGGTAGGACACTCCGACTACTTGGGTCGTTGAGAGAGGTTTCACCCCCAAATCCCCAAAGCGGCGACAAGACATTGAGTCTGCGAGCCAAAAAAACACTAGACACTCCAGCTGCAGGTATGCCACTTATACAAGCAGTTCCCGGGCAAGCCGGCGGCGGAAGTTTCCTATAAGAAGAAATTGACCTATAGGAGTGTCCACGTTCTCTCCAACAAGGATCAGCAGCTCACAACAGCGTACTGGGTCGT